AAGTGCTACCGGCAATCATTGGGACAAGCGAGAACAATGATTTACCTCCACTGGGGAAGGCGAACGTCTGTCTCGTCGCCGTTTCCAGTGACGGTCATGGCTTTCCTCATCACCCGAGTCCGACCGTACCACGTCGGCCTTGTTCTTCGAGATGATATGCTCCTTTCTCTTCTTGGGTGGTGGTTCATCTCCCTGGACTGGATGTTTGCTCTTCTTGGCGGTGCCAGCCTCCTGCTGCACGTTGGCTGGATCCTCAGGAGCTAAACCCTTGATATTGCGCTCGAGGTAGTCCCCATGGACTTGGGCCCACCAATCTTTATAGCCCGGCGAGAAATACTTCTTCATGGTGACAGTAACTCGAGTCGCGGGAAATGTCACTCGCGACCCTGAACTCCTAAGTGTAGAGTGGCGCCAACGTTGGAAACCCTCCGAAAGCGTGACCTCACGTTCATCCTTGCCCAGTATGCCAGAGCTGCCGTCTTGGTAATAGCCGAATTGTCGGCTGAATCGATGTGGAGTGTAAGGCTCTGCGATACATGCATCCGCTCATCGCAATATAAGGTGGTTAGAACGAAGACACATGAGGTACTCGTGGTCGGTAGAGTGTGCGTCCCCATTATCGAGGAAGTGGATATCCTTAGTTAGGCGGCGTGTCGTGCAGAGCCAATTGGCGCTGTCGGCTTTGAACATCTTACGACGAGCCTCTACTGGTCCATAATACCTCGCGCCACCCTCTCCAGAGTAGGCAATCATCAGCGGGGAGGCGGACGTTTGATCATTTGCGAAATGAGTGTCGAAGTAGAACGACAGCCACCCATACACATAGTGAATGGGAAAGTGACTATCAACTGACCCCGGCGTACTAGAGTGCGATATTACATTCAATCCATTGTAGATGCTCGCAAGAACGGGGATCCCGAGGTTCAGTGTTTTGCCCGTCGCCATTAGACTAGCCATTTTGAATGTTTGGGCTCGAATGAGTCGCGTTGCCTTGATGGGGAGCACGAATACGCACAGCCAACAACTTAGGTATGCCGCCAAATGGGTCTCCTCCTCGTATTCGGAGGGAATTCCAAGCTCAGCAAAAGGCGCTTTGGTCGTTCTGGTCCAACCCCCGAATGCGGGGATCTTGCCACTTGGATTATGGGTGTTCCTCGGGCGAGTCTTCTTCCTATCCTCCTTCCTAGGCGGTGGCCTGTCATAAACTTGTGGTCTTCTGCTCCAGAATTCTATCCACTCAACAACGTGAACTGAACGACTTTTCTCCTGTTGCCCACGGCGACCACCTCGTTGCCTAATTCGGTTACCAAGGTGATAGTATGCTTGGAACAAATATTTACAACATTGAGGGGCGGAGTTGATGTCTTCCCCTGTTAATTGCGAGGCAGTTGGAACGTACTCATCGTAGATGTCGCCAGATATCGGTAGACCGCAAAGTACATGCATATCCCAAAGCGAGATTGAAAGCTCACCGAGGGATGTAAGCAAGGTATTTGTCATGGGGCACCACGCTTCGCAGAATGCTTGGACGATAGGCGTCGAGCGGTCATATGTGAATAAGGAGGCATATACGCCATCGTAGATCGTCACATCCTCTAGAAGTTTGCGATGCCGACTGAGTATAGCCTCAGTCCATTCCCAATACCCCTTTGTGAAGCTAAACTCACCTTTAAAGCTGGGGTGCTGATTCCATGAAGCCTCACCTTCAAGTATCCATCTCCCTAAAGTCGGGAGTGTGTCTGTGTAGTCCACATGACTTAAGCCGGTCTTCAGAACCCATGTTTTCGATGAAAATATGTAAACGCGAAAAACTTGAATTGTATATATTCAAAATTCAAAGTATCGGTTACACAAGTAGTATCAAGTATATATCAAACGGGAAGGGGTACAATCTCTGTATAGGAGAAGTCCTCTGATTCTCTACTACAAATATGCCTATTGGAAGTATGCCAAATTTGGAATATGCCAAATTGGAAGTGTGCTGAGTTCAGAGTATGCTGAACTTGAAGTATGCCGAATCCGGAGTATGCCGAATTGGAAGTGTGCTGAGTTCAAAGTATGTTGAACTGGAAGTATGCCAAGTTCGGGAGTATGGCCGAACTGGAGTAGTTCCTTGCTGAAGGGCCTCCGGAGTTAGTAGCTTGTTCCTCAATGAAGGGCTAATATGCAGCTTGATCTTCAAAGAAGGGCTTCCGGTGTTCAAGTGGCGTATTCCTCAGCGCAATATACGCAGTATATATAACTGCGGGCGTGTTCCAGACGATATCCTGGCGAGATTTCGGCAGAGCTTCGATATGCAGATTTTCAGAGCTCCTATTCTTGAAAATGAAACCACTATTTATAGTGGTGAGTGTGAGGGAAAATCTCCAACCAACTCTTAATTCCTTATTTAATTTAATTTCTTTAATTAAATTAAGGAATGTATCGGGACACCATTGCGTCCAAGTTCATGATTTCATTAAATTTCCAAATAATATTAAATATTCAAATTTCCCAAAATTATATAATCCACATATAATTTTGATGGGCCAAGACCAAGTCAAACCCACTAACTAGGCAACCCAATTCATCCAAGCAGCCTGGTCCAACTTGATTAAATCTTTCACCATTTCGGGCCGAACAATCCAACATCCAATTACACTTAATTAAGTAATTAAACCAATTAATTATTCAATGAGTCATTTAATTAACCCAATTAAATAAATATTAGTCCAACTAGCTTAATTAAAGTAATTAATTTAATAATCAAATATTCACCGCGGTCCAACACCATTATTTAAATTTTCAATGCTTACAAATTGCCCCTTCGAGACTTGCTTGACGTGCCTTAAATGCAGCGGGAAGGTAGTCTCGAAATTAATCGCAGTAGTCCAAGAATCAACATTTGTAAATAGTAACCCAAGAAATTACATTGCGCAGGCTCAACGAGAACATATTTATAAGCCCAATTATATCCACCATCTGATTAAATGCCCATTCCAATTTTTAGCCAACTTTGATCCCAATTTTGACTAACATTAATTTCCTTGCACAATTTTTGACAACCAAATCACAGCTTTAGCTAGAATTGAGTAGGAGTTCACATACATCATCCTTATCTCATCCCCCACTCCGTTTAAAACTAAATCACATAATCCCTCCGCAGAATTAGAGTGTGATGAGGATTGGGGCAACAACATAGGGATAAAACAACAAAGCCATAACCATACTTCAATTACTGCGGATCTCAACAGTATAAATAGTGCTCAGGAATTACAATTCTCCAAGCCAAGAACTAGAACTGCCAGCAATTGAACTTCGACTGAGCTGCAATCCCATTCATCAAGGTAAAAAAAAAAATTTGCAGTGTATATTATCTTCTTAATTTTTCTTTTGACAGGAGAGAACAAACAATATCCGTGAGTCATTGGGTAAAGACACCTGGGGATTGACCTTCTGAGGTGACCTTCACCATCGCTTGATCTCGCCGTCGTCAAGACGTTGCTCCGGCACGTCCCCTGCGTCTCTATTCCTATCGCGCTAGGTGATGAAGAAGAACGCCTTCCACAACTGCTTGGGTTCATGCCGCCGGCCGCCATCACCGGGGGCAAAAAGCTGCTGGTACGCCGCCGGACACATGCTCACGAACTGCCACGCAATTGCTGCGGGGAGTACCAATTTGATGCTTTTGCACTCCAATGTGTCGTAGTTGCAGTCACTCCATTCCTCTAAACTTTTGACTCCGAGCCTGCCCCAATGACCGTGGCCACGGTTGCGAATAGGATTTTCTCCTGACTTACCGACGAAGTCGTGTGCCCTGACTCTTGTCTTCGCTTTCACGTGTTCTAGGAGTTCGTCTGTGCACTGCGGGATCGTCGCCGGAGGACCGAGCGCTTGGACCGACCGCCGGCAAGCTCGACAGGGAGGAAAGCTTGTTGAGGACTCACTTCGTTCGTGGACAGAGGTACCAAAATGACGAATCTTTACTCTAATCTATACTCTGCTTTGCATTTAAATAGAGAATGCATAGAGCCCTGCGCCATTACTCTTTCCCATGTATGCTATGCGTGTGTCAGTATATGTGCATCTTGTGTAGTAGGTAGAAACCACTGATTTGTTTTCTTATTTCCCCTTGCCACGTGGGTGTATATACATGAACATATATATGACACATCATTGTGGTCCATGTGAAAATAGATATGGGGTACATATATATATAATATGTGTTTTAATGCCTTTGCTTTTGCATGGATATACATATATATATAAATAACATTCCACTGCTAGCGTGAATGTACATATATTAATATATAATATGTTTAATTCACCAACTTGCTTGATTAAATGAATCACATATATAATGTATATACGTGGCGTGTGTTGGCTTTGTTCATTGCCCTTTGCCTTTTTTCTTCACTGTTTGCATGGGAGTATACATAGTACTCCACTTGGCGTGAGTACATCTCACACACACACTACCATACTATATACACATGCGTGGTCAATATTTGCTTTAACTTGCATATGATGCACACATAATATATAAAGGACTATTTAAGTAGTGTGCATGAACATGTACACATATGTAGCATGCGATTTGCTCCAATATTTCACGGCCATGTATTATGCACACACATAATATATACAATCTATATTCGCCTCATATATGTTCTGTGCGTATACTTGCTTCCCATAACACCGTGGTATGTATATACATATAATACATATTATATGGGTTGCCTTGTGCACATATCATCACGTGAAAAATTTCCTTGAATAGTTTCATGGCGACTTCAGACCTATAACTTTGTCCTTGCTTTATAAATTTTGGACAACTTTCGAACTTGACATCTTGGTCCTTAATGCAGATTCATACACCGCAAGCTATTTTTGAAGGATGGTAGTGTTTTGGGAAACCGTGGGAGCCGATCAGAAGAGGAGGCTCAAAGTATCAAGTGACGAGACTGGAAAAGATAGCATGTCGTTCATCGTTTACCCACCAATGACGTCGAGAACTCGTCTTACCCAGATACCGCCATATAAAGTGGAAAATTGGACCCATGAACTTGGATGAAGTTGTTGTCAAAGGGCTTCCCGTTATCTGTTAAGATATATCGCGGGATACCAAATCGATAGACGATGTGGACACGGAGAAAGTCTGCAACATTTTCTTTCTTCACCTCCTTCAATGCCACGGCTTCAGCCCATTTTGAAAAGTAATCGGTGGCAGCTAATATGTAGGCATGCCCTGCAGATGACTTAGGCGTAATTGGGCCAACCACATCAAGTCCCCAAGCATCAAATGGCCAAGATGCAACTGTTGGGTGTAGAGGTTCTGGTGGCTGATGAATAAAGTTTGCATGATATTGACAAGCTTGGCACCTTCGGGCATAGTCTATGCAATCCTTTACCATTGTAGGCCAATAATATCCCCTCTCATCTCTTCATAGGTACTTTCAACCGATATGGGGGCAAACCCTGTATGAAATTTGAAATGGAGGAAGCTAGACAATACTCCTTGGCACGAGTAAAAACGGCCTCATATCTTTCAAGGCTCCTTGGCACGAGTTGAAACGGCCTTATATCTTTAAGTTGTAGTGTCGAGACTTTCTTGCACTATATACTTTCGAGTGTTATATGCTCTCAAATGGTGTACAAGCAAGTCTCGAGGGGGCATTTGTAGACACTTAAATTTTGATAAATATTGATTATTTATCAATATTAGAATATTTGAATATATTTTGGATAATATTGATATTATCTAATTTGTTAATTAGATAATATCAAAAGAGTTTGAGCTTATCAAAACTCTCTATCCTACAACTATAAATAGAGCCTTTCACTTCTATGTAATCACACACATCCTAGGAAAAGTGATGTAAACATCTAGAAAAATATTATTCAGGATCACAATAAAAATGTGATACTGAAAGTAGAAGTCTCTCCTCCATAATGATCATGCCTATGCCTATTGATCCAAACCTCCATTGAAGATCAAGCCATTTGAACCCGGAGGCCCTTCAAGAAGAACAAGCTATATATACAAGCCCTTCTTTGAAGATCAAGCCACTTGAAACCCGGAGGCCCTTCAATGGTAGAGTGTTCAAGGCATCAATTGAAGAATCAGAGGATATCCAGAGACATGTACCCACACCGCATTGATACTTGATATGTAATTCGGAACTTTGAATTTCTATATTTTAATTCAATTTTCTTTGTTTACAGCAAGCATCACATATTTGATCTTTCTTGTAAACAATGTCGGGTAGACCTTCAACGAGTTTGTTTCTTGCTAGCTTGTTGATAGTCTTGAAGTTTAGATGATTCAACTTCTTATGTCATTCCCAACTTGTTGCGTGTGAGTTGTTTGCTAATAGGCACACTGATTCTTTTGTTGTGTTCCAATCCACCACATACATATTTTTCTTCCTTATTCCTTCGAGCACAACTTCTCCCGAGGAATTATCCTTCACTTGGCATTTGTCCTTGAAGAACTCTACTAGATATCCTTTGTCACAAAATTGACTTGTACTTAACAAGTTGAATTTTAGACCTTCAACAAAGGATACATCTTCAATTTTCAAGCCATTTCGAAATATTTTACCGATTCCTTTTGTTATGCCGTATTGTTCATTTCAACCGAATACGACTTTTGGTCCATCGACATTTTTAAGATTCACAAGACTAGATTTATTTCTAGTCATGTGTCTAGAACGTCCACTATCGAAGTACCAAACTTCCTGCAAATAAATTACACATTTTTAGGTACCCAACTTGATTTGGGTCCTTGGGTGTTAGTCATTTTTGGTACCCAAATCCACCTTGTACTCACTGATCTAAGTCTAGGTGATTGGTAACCATTGAACACATTATAATCATATTTAATTTTTGAAAACAATTTTTGTGCCGGATTTTGAAAATTGACTCGATTTTTTGGCACGTGGGAGGTAGATTGTTTGAGCTTGTGATAGGCATTAAATCTGGACTTAGTCCATGGTTTATCATCAAACTAATCTTGTTTAGAGGGATAAAATCTCCCTGCCTCAATTCTTGGATTCCTTCCCATTCTCCTATGAGGGCTTTGTGCACTAGACTCATTGGTGTGTTTCCATTTAGGAACAAACTTTTGTCTTTTTATGTACTGTTTAGGCGAGATATTATTTCTTTGAGGCTTCGGCCTAACAACATTAATTTTGACATTAGTTTGGTAACCAATTCCTTGTCTCACTGTGCTTTCTTGACCTTTTACAAATTTTACCACTTGGACTTTATTTTTTAAAGTAGTAGTAGAATTGGTCAATTTCTCGGAGGCTTGAGAACACGATGGATCATAACCAAGTCCGGTTTTATCACTTGAGGGTTTTTGCATATTTACCATTTTGTCCATTATTTTGGATGAATGTGTAAACGTTGCTATAACCTCTCTAAGGTTGTGTTCTCTCACTTCCCTTGATTTACACTCTTCTTGAAGACAAATAATTTTATCTTTCGAGTCTTTCACTTCAAGTAGAGCATTTTGCAATTTTTCATTTAATTGATCTTTTTCAAGAATCAAAAGATAATTGCGCTCTTAGAGTTGAGAGTGAGTGTCCATTACGGTTTGACATTCTTCCATTAAGTGAAAGAAGGATTCTAGAAAATGAAGAATTTACAGAATCATAAGAATTAGATGTTACCTCATTTTCTTCATTTCCATTTGCCATAAGACACATGTCCTCGTAGGGTGTGTTGTTGGAGATGCTCATGCAAAACATTGCATTGTCATCCTTTGAGGTGTCACTTTCATCAATTGAAGATTCTTCTGACTCACTTATTTCAAGTGGGTCACTAATAAGTGCTTTTCTTCTCTCTTTTGTAAACCTTTTATCTTTGGTCTTGAATTCTTCCTGTTGAGAGTTAGAAGTATTTGTGTATTGACTTTTACTTACCTTAGGATGTGGACAACTAGCTGCAAAGTGTCCAGGCTTTCTACAGTTGTAACACAAGTTTGAATCTTCCTCAACCATTTCTTTCTTCGAATTCTTTGTTGCATTCCACGATTTTCCTTGTGGATTTTTCTTGTAGTTGCTTCTCTTCATAAATTTCCTAAATTTCTTAACAAAGAGAGCAAATTGATCATTAGGCAATAATTCAACATTTTGTACTGACCTTGAGGTTAATGGTTGCTCGGCTATGAGTGCGTTGTTCTTTTCTTCATGATCTTCTTCTATTTTTTATTTCATCTCAAATTCATAGGCTTTTAGATCACTGAACTGCTTATCGATTGATAGGGTTTTTAGATCCCTATTTGCTCTCATGGTCGTGACCTTCATGTCCCATGTAGATGGAAGACCACGTAGAATTTTGAGTGAGATTTCTTTTTGATTAATATCTTTTCCAAGATCATTAATCTCTCCTAAGATTTTGGCAAATCTTGTTTCCATATCGGTAATATTCTCGCCGTTTAGCATTTTGAAATTCACGAATTTCTTTAATGCTATGGTGAGCTTATTATCCTTTTCTTGTTCGTCTCCTTCACCAATTTGAATGAGCGTTTCCCAAACTTCCTTCGCGGATTGACACTTTCGAACTTTTGGAAATATCGTGTCATCGATAGATTTAAACAAAATATCCTTGGCAATATTGTCCAAGTTATTTCTTGTTCTATCTTCACGAGACCATTCCGCTTTCGGTTTTGGAATGTATTGTTGAGTGTCACTTGTTTGTACGGATGAAGTGTTGACTTGTAAAATCTCAATTGGACCACTCGTAACCACTTCTCACATTTCATCATGTAATGCGGATAGATGTACCTTCATGCGAATTTTCCAATCATCAAATTTTTCTAAGGAAAACAGTAAATTTTGGGCAAGAGCCATATCTCTTTTCATCATCTTGATTTTTCGAGATCTGTCTAGCAGTCAAAATTGACTCAAACAGACAACTGCTCTGATACCAATTGTTGGTCCCGATAGGGTGGTGAAAGTCTAGAGGGGGGGGGGGGGGGGGTAAATAGACTTTCAAGCTTTTTCAAATAAATAACTCTTTGGTAACTTCAACTCTAAGTAACAAGTAAATAGAGTAAGTTTGAACGGCACAGCGGAATAATAATATGTAAAGAGTTATGCACAATCAATGAATAAAATGCGCATGTAAGATGGATACAGATGATATGTAAAGTGACAGATGTATCTTGAATATATAAAGGAGATGGTGCACTCAATATATAACAATAATATTCAAGATTGTAAATAAAATATCGTGTCACGTCAACCGTGTGACGAACGTTACATGCAACACGTCAAACTTGCTTAGAATAATTCACAATTAAAGCTCGAGAAATTTGAATCACATGCATACGTGAAAACACACTAAACCCGAAAGATTAAGATTAACTGTGAATAGTAAACGGGTTAGTCGAATAAGATAGATAGATAGAGCAAATTATGTAAGTGCAGTATGTAAATGAGAGAGGCAATTTATAGTGGTTCGGAAGTGGCGTAATCTTCCTAGTCCACTTTACTCCATTCACTTCTAGGAGTAATTCACTATTTTCCACACACAGTTACAATAGTGAATAAGCGCTACACAAGCACTTCTTCCGGATGTCTTGCACACAGCTACACCCAACTCCGAGTGTCTCGCACACAGCTACACTCAACTCCGAGTATTTTGCATACAGTTATACTCAACGCCAACTAAGTGTCTTGCACACAGCTACACTTAGCAACTACGAGTGTTTTGCACACAGCTACACTCACTAGAGTATTTTGCACACAGCTATACTCTTTTTACAATTACAAATACAAAGGTAATTGTATCTCTCTCCAACTAGTTTCGAGACTATCCAGAATAAGTCTCTAATGAATATTTGAGCACTTACACTTTTCGAATTTTGCACTTTGTTTTCTATCTCTTGTCTATCTTGTTCACTTCTTCCTTCAAGTCTTCATGGCTCTTTATAGGCAATCAAATATATCCGTTGGAGTGGAATAATTTGATATTTGAAATTTGAATCTTCATAGCCTGATATTGTTGACAATAGTAGATCTTCAATTTTGATTTGATTGTCAACTTGCCAGACCAAATAATATTTTATCTCAACTTGATTTTCAAATTGTTTCTTAAAATATTATTTTTGTTGTCAATTTTGAATTTCCAACGAATCTTTGAAATAAATCCTTCTGATAGAATTTATTTCTAGGATAAATTTTTATATTCATGTCTTCATAAATATTTTTCCTTATATTCATGTCTTCATAAATATTTTTCCGTTCTGATCAATATCTTCAGGAAATTTTGGATTCTTGTGGCATGTGGGCTGATTCAAAATAAATTCCTTCGAATTTATTCATAGCTCCTTTGACTTAGGCACTTCTTTCTTGTTTAACTTAAACATTGTGCTTCTTTGATTTGGTCATGCTCCTTGGGGGGA